GAATAGAATAGAATAGAATAGAATAGAATAGCGGTCGCCAACCAGTGGGCCGCAGCCCACTGGTGGACCATGAGAAAATTTTGATGGGCCGCAGAGAAATCTCACCCCCAGAGCACCCCCCCAAGGCAATTAATCCAGGCTGCGCAGAAACACAAGGCTTGCGCGCCCACATGGCCCGCGGGAACCCTCCCCGCCTACTCCCTCCTTACCCGGCAAATTTGCCTGCTAAATTGCTATTTTTCCTTTTTCCAACCATCAGCTGTTCTGCTGTGCCGGGAGATTTAGATTAGCTAGGAAGCAGGAAATGGTTGGATTTCTTGCTTTCTAGCTAGTCCTTAGATCTTCGGCTCTGCTTTTAAGCACAGCCGAACCTCCCCTAGGATTGAAGGTTCTATTATTCAGTGCAGACTCAGGGCAAGCAAATTTTATGTGACGGGCTGAGCTAGCCGATGGCAGATAGATAGATCACTGAATGATTCTGTGGGCAACTCCTCTGCCTGCCTGCTTTGCCTGATTTTGGGTAAAAATTGCTCTTTTTTTAATAAAAAATTCAATATTTACACTGTTCTCACTGTCAGAAAATCTCTCCATATTTCCAGGTTGAATCTCTCCTTTTTCAGTGTCCATCCATTATTCCTTGTCTGGCCTTCGGGGGCTTTGGAAAATAGCTCCTCTCTGGGGAAGCCCCTCAAATATTGGAGCAATGCTATCCTGTCTCCCCTGGTCCTTCTCTTCCCTAGACTAGCCAGGCCCTGTTCCTGAAACCGTTCTTCATATGTTTTAATCTCCAGACCCCTAATCCTCCTGGTTGATTTTCTCTGCACTTTTTCTAGAGCCTCAACATCTTTTTATAGTGTGGTGACCAAAACTGGATGCAGTACTCCAGGTGTCAACTTACTAAGGCTTTATAGAGTGTATTTCAAGGCACCCAGCTCTTCGGATACCACATTGGCTCCATCCGTTCTGTCGCTTTTCTGAGGCCAAATCTCTTCCTTTTTCATAATTATTATCCCAAAGAGTTATCTCTCCCCTTCCAGCGAAGGGCTGCAGCCGAGCACGTTCAATAAAAGCATAAAAGAACGCATGTAAATCAAATCTAAAACATCCCAAATAAAACCACCGGTTTGAAAAAGAAAAAAACACCATGAATTAAAATCATTTTTGGGTCCCAAGGCAGTAGGGGCTGGAGGCCTTGGATGTTATTTTAGGGTGAAAGTTCCCTTAAAATATAATAGCAGAAGAAGAAGAAGAAGAAGAAGAAGAAGAAGAAGAAGAAGAAGAAGAAGAAGAAGAAGAAGAAGAAGAAGAAGAAGAAGAAGAAGAAGAAGAAGAAGAAGAAAAGGAAACCTTGAAAAAGCTTAGAAAGCAAACAGCTGAAAAAAAGAACAAATAGTCTTTGGGAAAGAGTCCTCGACTTGTGACCAAAATTGGGAGCAGAATTTCCGTTGCTAAGCAAGGCGGTTGTTAAAATGAGTTGAACCTGATTTTGCAGTCTTTTGGGGGGGGGGAGTCGTTAAGTAAATCATGCAGTCGTTAAGCAGACCCGGGTTGGAAGCCGGCTGGGGAAGTTGCAAAGGGCCACCCCGCATCCCGGGGACGTTGAAACCGTCATAAATATGCGCCGCTTGCTAAGCGCCTGAATTTCGGTTACTTGACTGTGGAGGTGTGCAGTGGTCATAAGTGCAAAGACTGGTCATCAGTGCCGTTCAATGCTGTTGTGACCGTCGTTAAACGCATGCCCGCAAACCCCTGGGTTTTGGAAGAAGCCAAGGAGTCAAGCTGGAATAGATGAGAGGAAAGGTGGCTTTGTATGGCAGACTGTCCCTAAGCCAACCACCATCAAGCCATATATGATGGCTTGGTTCAGCTGAGTTGGATACGTAAGAAGGAAAAAAAAATCCCCATACTCCTCTTTCTTTTCCACTTTTTTCTTCTTTTCCACTTTTTTTTTCCCCCTTTCCAACTCGTGTTTGGTATCTTGAGCTGTCTTTGCAGAAAATTTAAAAACCCAGCCTCCCCACCTCCCCCACCCAAAAAAATAAATTATACACCGTATTAGTGGCGTGGAGTTGAGTAGTACGGCTTAGGTACAGTAAGTGTGAGCGTGTCCGTTGTGCTTGTGCACTTATCTGTTGCCTAAAAAGTGACACAGAAGAGAGGTTCAGCGGCAACAACAGCTGTCAGGCAGACTAGGAGTAAGCGAGGGAGTTAATTGTGTATGTGTGTGTGCGAGAGAAAGAGAGAGAGAGAATGAGAACAAGAACAAGAACTGAGCAATAAGTGTGAAATTTGAAGATACAGAGAGTTGGATGGGACCTTGTAGGTCATCTAGTCCAACCCCCCCCCCCCCGGACGCCTAAGCAGGAGACCCTACACCAGAAGGAGAAGCGAAACGAACAATCGTACAAATCAGGCGAGAAGGAGGCAGCAGACGGCAGAGAGGGCTGCGAAGCCAGATTTAACTCTGCCGGGGAGTCCTCGACTTACGACCACAGTCGAGCCCAACGTTTCAGCTGCTATGTGAGACCGTTGGGAAGGGAGCTTTTTTGGCTCCATTGGCCCAACTTTCCTGCCGCGCTTGTTAAATAAATCAATGCAGGTGTGAAGCTAGTAACACGCTTGTTAAGTTGAATCTGTCCTCCACATTGACGTTTGCGGATCCGGAGGTTGTAAAAAGGGGATCGCATCAGGGGTGGGATTCCAAGTTCTTCACCACTGGTTCTGTGGGTGTGGCCTAATTTGTGGATGTGGCTTGGAGGTCATGTGACTGGCTGGGCGTGGCTTGCTGGCTGGGCGTGGCACATAACCTTGGGACTCTGCAACTGTCGTGTGTACCTGCCAGTTGCCAAGCCTCTGAATATGAATCCTGTGACCACGGGATTGCTAATGCAATCCTAAATTAATCAAGATCAAGGGAGGTACTAATTCCACTCTATAAAACCTTAGTAAGAGAATCACCTAGAATCCTGCATCCAGTTTTAGTCACCACACTATAAAAAAGGATGTTGAGACTAGAAAAAGCGCAGAGAAGAGCAACCAGGATGATGAGGGGACTGGAGGCTAAAACCTACGAAGAACAATGCAACGCTAAATAGCGTTAACAGAGGAATTCAATCAGGATCAAATAAGGTACTGATACCACTCTATAAAGCCTTAGTAAGACCACACCTAGAGTACTGCATCCAGTTTTGGTTTCCACACTATAAAAAAATTGTTGAGACTCTAGAAAAAGTGCAGAGAAGAGCAACCAGGAGGATTAGGGGACTGGAAGCTAAAACATACGATGAACGGTTGCAGGAACTGGGCATGGCTAGTATCGTGAAGAGAAGGACCAGGGGAGACAGGAGAGCGGCCTTCCAATATTTGAGGGGCTGCCATAGAGAGAAGTGGGTCAAGCTATTTTCCAAAGCACCCGAAGGCCCGACAAGGAATAATGGGTGGAAACTGAATAATGGATGGAACAAGGAGAGATTCAACCTGGAAATAAGGAGGAATTTTCTGACAGTTGAGAACAGTCAACCCCTGGAACAGAAGTTGCCTTCGGAAGTTGTGGGAGCTTCATCCGTGGAGGCTTGCAAGAAGAGATTAGACTGCCATTTGTCAGAAATGGTGTAGGGTCTCCTGCATGGGCAGGGGGTTGGACTAGATCACCTTTATGGTCCCTTTCAACTCTGATTACCTGTTATCTATCATAAGTGTGAAAAGTGGTCCTGGGTCACATTTTTTTCAGTGCGGTTGTAACTTCGAACAGTCAACGGTGACCGTCGTAAGTACGAACCACTTGCCCCAAACCATCTGAATTTAGGCAGTCCTTGACTTACAGCGGTTCCCTTTACGGACCGTACGAAGTTGCAACGCCACTGAAACAAGTGACTGAACGACCGTTTTTCATACTTAACGGCCGTTGCGGCATCTCCACAGTCACGGGATCCAAACGGGCAGCTGACTCCTGTTTATAACGGTTGCCGTATCCCGGGGTGAGGCGATCCACTTTTGCGACCCCCTTGACAAGCAAACTCAATGTGGCAAAAGCTTAACGACCGTGTTGCCAACTTAACCCACGGCAGCTTTTCGTTTCATAGCTTGTTGGCAAGGGAGGTCGCAAAACGGGACAAAGCTGACTTCATCTATATATCTCCC